ATTGGATTTTTTGTTCCAGGAAAGCTATATGTTTCGTTACACAATCCCGGCAGTAATTGAAAACCAGTCAATTTGATTTGATACTAAAATTTTGTAAACGAAATTAATCAAAACTCTTTTAGGAAAAATTACACCGTTTCACACACTTCACAAATTGCAACTGATGCTACACTAGGTGTGCGGAAAGGTAAAATAATCACATGGAATATTTTTTCTAATTCGTTCAATTTTCAACGAAAAAATTAAAAGTTACAAGATATGATGATAAAAAAGTTAAACTTTTTATTGCATCTATAGAAGTACAATTTTTTATCATTTTTCATTTGAATATAGGGCCTATTTCAATGTCGGTGCCCAATAATAATTTGGCCCAGTCCATCCTGCGATTACAGAATTTCAACAAAACTTCATTCGCAGTTTCAAGATCTTTCAAAATTGCGGCTTGAGATTTCGCGTAACTTTTTGCGGTTTGTGCTTGACCATTGCCTGACTCTTTCATGAAACTTGCAACTCTTTTACTCAGCTGATCCATGGCAGTTTTAAATGCTTTATTAAATGATGCATGAACTCTTTTTATTTGAGAAAAACGAAAAATAACACGCCCCTCTTCCGCAACAGTAAGATCGTGGTTTTCCCAATTGTTGTAAAGTTCTTGGATTTCATCTTCAACCGGTTGTAAATAAGTTGCATAGCCTTGAAGAGACGATCCTATAGAAGTACATAAATCATTCAGGTTGCTTTTGTCCATGGGGTTTTGAAAGTTAGGGTTATAGATCGAATTTAACACATTAATATATTTAGAGGCAACATCCGTTTCACAGAGTGAGAACAACGGTTTGAAGTTTGTTTCAAATAAAGGATCACTAGTTTTTTGTTGGAATTTCGAGAGAAGCTGTTCGTATGTTATTTTTTCTCCCATAGCCCCTTTGATGCAGATCTGCCATCAAGATAAAAATAGTGAAATGTTACTTTGAAACATACAATGATTTTTGGATAGAATAGATCCGTAAGATCTCCGCAAGATCCGGATCCAAGCGTGCGTACGTAGCCGCGTGATACATACATTCCTTACTCCGTAATGCTATGGCATGCGAATCAAAGAAGGGGAAATAAGAATAACGAATTTGCGTGCGTATTATATATGTATGCATCATGCGGCAGCGTACGCACGCTTGGATCTGGATCTTGCGGAGATCTTACGCATCTATCCTATCTAAAAATCATTGTATGCTTTGAAACCATTCAACTTATAATATTAATGGTTTTTTATTCGTTTTTTTTTTTTAACTTATTCATAGTTTCAAATCAGTACTTACCCCATCAAACATCAAAAACGAAAATAAGGTCAAAAATAAAAATTGCTTCATTTCCTTTAGTTGCAATTGCCTCGTTTTGAATATAAAATTCAACTGAAAATGAGAAGGTGCAGGATCGTTTATATACAAAAAATATAACGAAAAAAACATGTCTGTACTTACGCACAAAAAATTCCACATAAATAATATATATATTATATATATATTCATTATATATATTATTATATATATATTCATTATATTAATTTATACCACACGAATGGCCTTTCATGATTTTATATTGCATAAAATCTTTATATACAGAAATTAATGAAAAATTAAAGCCACTAAATTCTCATTGAACAATTTACATTGAAGTCTGCTATCTTTTATCATTTGTTTGTTTCGATTTTTCCATCTGTTTTAAAAATTCTGTGATCTGTGGCTTTTGCGTTATTTTCCAATGTTTCTAAGCTCAAAAAATTTCATAACAGACGTTATTCATAAATAAAATAAACATGTTTCGTTGAAAGTGTGGACATATTGTTTTAACGTGAACAGAAAATTGTTGCTAAGCCTGATAAATTATTACACTCTACATTTTGTATATCTGTTCAATGAAGCTTAATATTTGTTGAATAAGTTCACCTGTTTTTTTTTTGCACCAATATCGAAAGAGAAATTTCAGTGATATGAGAATAACAAATTTCATTATTGCACATTATTTGAAATTTTTTATTTTTTTCAATAAAAAAAAACAAGCATCCCAATTCCAGAGACATTGATAATCCTTGAAAATTGGTTAGATAGACATGAACCATGCGAAAACAAACGGAAAGTTTATCTTAAGCTAACAAAATTATGCATGGACCAAAATATTTGCCAGTTCGACGGAAAATTCTACAAAATCACGAAAGGCACATGCATGGGAAATGCACTCTCACCATTTCTTGCAAATTTGTTCATGTCGAATTTCGAAATGAAATTGAAAGAAGAAAATAGTTTACCGAGAATTTGGTGGAGATATGTGGATGATGTAGCGGCAGTTATCGAAAGGGGGAAGGAGAATGAGATTATGGCGTTATTAAATTCACAACAACCAACCATTAATTTCACAATTGAACTGGAAACGAATAAGTCATTACCATTTTTAGACGTTCGGATTTCACACAAAACCGATGGTTCGATTGAATTTGGAGTTTATAGAAAACCCAGTAACACACCATGCTACAT